AAAGAACTGTAGCTAATTGCAATGTCCTCAAATTACTTTAAAAAATATAAACAATTCCAGTTGGATTTAAAAAAAAAAGTGAGGGTGAAAGTGGCTTTTTGTAGCTTTAAGTCATTTGTTGAAAGTTATTTGTCACTTAACCCTAAATCATTTCCCTGATTAGCCAAGTGAAGCCAAACTGGTCTTTTCTGTCCTAATCCTCTTTCTTGGAGCCTCTGCTTGTTTTTCTTCTTTTACATCAAGCTTCTAGGTAAACTATTTTCTGAGCAGAAGTTGCAGGTCACTTCATAAACCAGGCACTCTTCAAAGTTGTCATAAGCGTATTACAGAAATACAGACTACTAGATTGGGGTAGAGTACCTTATTAATATTTCATTTTGGTACAATATACTTGCATTAACTCTCTTAACACAGGTATCATATTGTTTCAAGTCAGAGAACCTGAAATATTGCAACAAAGATTAGACTAAGAGCAAAGCCCTAAAAACTACAGCCATTAGTCCTGTCATCCCCTATAAAGTTAATGGGTTGGAAAAATGGTCAATCTTTGGACTAAAAGTTGATATTTAATTGAAAGAAAATGTTTTTTAATTGTAATGGGGATTTTGCATTAGCGTGAACATGAAAAGGTACTAAAGGATCTAATGCAAGGTTATGTATTGATTTCCATCTTAACGCTAGTGTAAAATGAAGAAATATTTCTATTACATAAACAAACTCTCCTATTCAGCATCATGACTTCTTATTTGTTTTAAGGGCACAGTAAACAGACTTGAGTGAAAAGAAGAAATAACAAAATATTCTAGGACAGCTTGTGCTGATGTATAGGACAAAAAGCCATGACACTGCTGTAAACCCTGATTGCTTCTGCACCAGAATTATCAAGATGTTATGTGTCACTTTCACATTTTCCAGGGTTATTTGGTTGAGGAAAGCAAGAGCATCTGTAAACCTGGCACTACACTGCCTTAATCAAAATGGTTTTACTGATCATGGATTATAACACGAGACCTGACATAATAGATGTGCAAAGTCTGCCCAAAGAATTAGCATCACTATAGGCTGGATGGATGGACGTATTCAGGAAACATAGTTTTTCTTGAAAAGGAAAATGCTTAAGCTAAATGAGTTTAAATTCTTATTATTAATAATACTTAGAACACTGCATTGAATTTGGGAGATTTCATTTTCCTTTTAATACAAACTTATGTAAATCAGGTCCTTTTAAATCCTATACAGTTTTCTTTAATAGTAAGCCATTGTTTTGACATTCTACTTAATAAACAAAAATTTGTCAGGAGTGATACCTACATACAATTTGCAAGTCAGTGTAAGTTACTTAATTTAAAACTGAAAGACAGAGAAAGCATTGCAAATACTTTATGAATAGTATTGCCATAATTCTATTATAAAAGTTATTGTAATACTGAGCGGGTATGGACTGCTGTTAAGGTGCTTCTGTTATATACCCCGTAGTTTGCCATTTGTAAACACATCTTTTGATGTTGCTGCCAACATCCTGGCAACAAAGCAGTGCAATTTCAAATGAGCTAATTAACTTAATTGTTGATGAAGCATGAAACAGTTCATTCACCCTGTTAGCTGCACCATGACAACATAAGAGTCTCAGCCCCTGAAGTTACTCATCTATATAAGCCTATCTGTAGCTTTCCATTAAGATCTATTGCATGCCAAATGAGTATGGCTCTTCTAACAAAGACCAGTCCATAATGTACACAGGTAGTAAATCAGTGCTGCTGTTGAAAATTCAAATGAACACAGAAATACTAGTAAATACTTTGAAATAAACAAAAAGGAAAAATTGCAGAAACCCATTGCAGTTTGAAGCTGCAGATGAAAAGGAAAAGCTTTGTCACTTCCTAAATGCTAAGATTTAGAAAATAGCTGGCTAAACCAAATGCTGAAAAAGCAATGACATCACTTTTCATTCCTGAAAGGTGCAAACCCACCTGTACACTGTGGGTTTTTTATGAATCTTGGGCACATGCAAGAATAAAAGCAAAAATAGATTAGCACGTAAGAGTTAAATGGCCATGCTTAGGCCTTTGTGCTTTTTTATTTATACTATACACAGTAATTCCCACTTCACACAAACTGTCAGAATTTAAAAAGTGCTTTTTCATACTCCTACTATCCAATATAAAATCTAAAGCATCTCTTCAAATTTTCTGAGGCTCCATTTCAGTAAAGGATCATAAGAGGATTAAACACTGTGCTATTGAAAGGCCTGCAAAAGTGTTCGACATGAAAGAAAGGATAACAATTTGACCCTCCGCCGATAGCCTCGATTATCCAGTTGCATGAAATACACACAAAAAAATCTCTGAAATGGTTTACAGTAAAACTTTGTTTGCTGTCTTTCACTTTCCCTTGCCTTGAACCATTTTGTACCAACGAATAAAAATCCACCTACTTTAAAAATTGTCCAAAATCTTCACAAACGCTTTCACAGCCAGGCCATTTGCAAACTCCATGACCATAGAGAGTATGGGAGGCCCCAGTCTCCTCATGTGACGAGCTGTAGCAAAAGAATAAGGCATCAGATTCATCTCAAAAGCCATAATCGTTGGAGGCTGCTAGCGCCTGTCAGGTTACGATCAGTGACAAACAGGTCAAAACAGGTCAATTTAGCTCAGAGCAGTCAGAAAAATTTAATCGTTCTATTGAATAGTTCAACTGCCAAGGCTAGATGATGTTCCAATTAGAGAAGAAATAGAGCCAAAGATGACTGTTAATAAAGGATGAAAAAATAAGATGACTGTATAATACCATATGCTAATTATGCCATATGACCTTGGTGTAACATTTACCTATAAATAAAAAATACACTCAGAAATGATCAATTCTAAGTATAAATATTGAAGATTGACAGTCAGAATTCCTGAATATTGTGAACATTCAAAATAATATTTGAATTTTCTGCTCAATGCGTATAAAAATAAAGTTGCTTCCATTAATAAATATTTTTGTTCACAAGTATTGCTTTCATTAACTATGTGGCTTCATAAATATCCCTAGCTGTACTCCATGCCTTTTACTGGAACTTCTGCAATTGTTTCATCCACGATGAGTTATCAAAAAAATTCAGGGAATTATTCCGTGGATGTAGGTGACATACTGAAGCAAAGAACCATTCTGTGAGATATAAACAAAAAAGTGATAATAACTAAAAGTACTACTACAAAGGTTTTCAGATTTTTAAATAATACAAAATAATGATTGAAAACTGCTCTCACAGTCATATGAGCATGAGAGAGACTTAAATCATAGTCTCCTAAGTATTAAAATAACTAAATGGAAAATTTTTTGAAAAGACAATTACTTACAATTTAGGTTATATACACACAATTAAATTTCATCTTATATTGAGATGTAGTATATCTCACTACACTAATATATTTACTGGTAAGTGTAACAGATATTACATACTCTTGTATTTAAACCATTACATGAAATTAAGGAAGAGTAAATAATATCTGTCAACGTGTCTAAAAATTATTTTAATTTCATCCATATGATGGAATTCCACTGTATTACACTAACAACATGGAAAATTTATAGGAAATATGTCAACTTCATTACTGTCATGCATAAAAGACAGAAAATTTAGTGGTTCTTTTCACAAGAAATAAACAACATGAGAAATGTCTTAATATACTGTTTTGAAGCACTTTCAATAGAGAATCTTTGCACTGAATTACAGCCTTGACAACTCATATAGATTTACTTTGTCAATGAAACCAGGAGTGTGATTCAACAGTAAGGGCCTGACTGCCAGGTGTGTTAAACATGAATGAAACTATGCAGCTACAAAAAGTGCCCACAAATGTGCATTTACACCCCTACACCAGCCCACTTGATTCTGTGATTAACTTTTATCCAAACTATCATACGTTCATGAGTTATAAAACCACATGCAGGTAATTTTGTTGTGTCTGCACAGTTAGACATTATTACGGAAAATTACGCCCTACTGATAAACAATTCTGGAAGATCAGGTTCCACGATCTCTTAAGTAACCTCTACAAAGAGCTATTTTTTGATTGGAAATCATGTGACTTAAGATGTTATACAACCGCTTCATGTCAAATGATAAGCACAGTTGAAATCCCATCAGAATTACCTGTCTCGCCTTGCATTTAGAACTGAAGACTGTCCATTCACTATGGAATGATGAGTTATTGGTGGTGATGCTTTGGAAGTGGTGGAGGAGGTAGTAGAGGAGGAATTGTTAGTAGTGAGGTCTAGCCCTCCATGTTTAATGCCATTGTCTTCCATACTGTGAACTCCAGTCACTTCTTTCCATAACTGCTGAATCTCAGCAGGACTTAAGCCAGCTATAAAATGAAAGAGAGCCCCACTAATATAACAACACAAAGAGTTTCATATAATGAGCTCAGTGTTATTAATGGATTAATGCCAACAATAAAGCTGATGCTGTTTTACCAGCACAATCAACATGTAGTAAAACATAAATTCATAAAGTCATAAATTCATAAATTCATAAACATAAAACAAAAGAGAACTTAAAATTGCTCTCTACTCCACTTGCAGCCTGGAAACTTGTAGTTTCCAGGATTCATCCTTGGTCACAAAAAGCATGTTGAATGTATTCACACATATGTGTTAGGGTTGTCTGACTCAAGTTTGCATGAAGTCATGGAAACCTACAGTACAATATGCTTCTGCCTGAAGTAAAGACTTCAAAACACAGGCAAGAGAAGAGCTGTGAGCATTCTCTTATCTTGGCACTGAAGATGCAGCTAAGATAGGAAACCAGATTTTGAAAGATGAATAGCTCATCAGAAATATACACAAGTTCTGTCACTGCCAGACCTTGTAAGTTTGACATCACTTTTGAAAAATACTGATTAAACACAGGAAAGAATATGAAGCCCAGAGATCTCGTGATTTCAAAGCCAGGTTCTTCAGCCTAATATGGTTTGTTCCAGGGGTATCTCAAAATCTGTCTTCTCTATTTCATCTCAACAACCAAAATTAGGTAACATGGTCATGGTCATCTAGATGTGCTGGAATGCAAAACATTCAAAATGTTGATGCTGTTTGAATAAAAATATTGTGTGTGGGTTTTTTAGGGTTTTATTTGTTTGTTTTGGATTTTTGTTTGTTTATTTGCTTGCTTGTTTGTTTGTTTTTTAATAAAAGAACTCACATTTCTGGTCCTGAAAAGTACTAGAAAGCATCTGTTCATTCAGCTTAATAAGATACAGTAGAAAAATGTAAAGACTGCTTTTTATTGTTTGGGAAATCTATTTATTAGGTAATGTTTTATTTTGAGAATATATAAACTCAGACTACTGAATGAGATTCAATAAAAAATTATGAAGAAAGCACAGGAAGTTCTTTAATTCTTCTCAGTAGCTATCTAACCATGAAGTATTCGAAACTATTAAAAATACATTAGTAGTTATTTACAGAAATATTAATTTCTGGAGGAAGTATTAAACAAAGTGGGTGGCAGGGATTTTTTTTAATTATGAACCAGCTCATTTTTAGATTACTGCTTTGAGTCCTGCATCTTTACCTTAGATACCAACACCCACTGGCAAACTCAGATAAGGAAAAAGTAAAAAAGAGTTGATTGCAAGTCCTAAAACTGGACTTTATACCATATTTGTATAGAAAAACTCTAGGTTTTTAGGAAGCAAGCAAAGAAGCCAGGCTCTAATTTATTGCATTAGAGATGGGTAACGGGAGTGATGGTAATACTGGTTGCAATTGTTTAATGAGGGTAAGTAATTACTGCTGAGTTCATGAGGTATGTTCCAGCAACACTGCAAAAAACCCACTTTAGTGTTCTAAATAACAGCTACCTGCAACTGTGATCACAAATCAAACTGAAATAATGTATTCATTTAGGTGGCATGATATACGAAGTACATTATTTACTTCAAAGTCTTCCTCCCGCTGTTAAAAAAATAAACTAATTCTGCACTGAAAAAAACCACCAAACCCAAGAATGAAAACATCTGTTTAGGTGATCAGATACCATGTCTTCCAGTGAGAGGAATTTAATTTGAGACCATCAAACTTTGGGTGCTGTGTGAGGTGAGTGAGAGCTGCCCCACAAGCTGAGCGGGTGCAGGAGGGCTGGCAGCAGCTGTGCAATGCCCTCTCCATAGGCAGGGACGTCCTGGGTCCTGCCCAGCTCACCTAGGGCTTTCTTAAAGCAGGAAGAAATTTCTAGGCTCAGGCTGATTTACTTCATCACTTCTTCAGAGGACCCTGAAAGGCTGCCTTTTAGGATAAAAGGATTATGGGCAGGGGACTTAAAAAGTATAAAGTTAATAAGCGGGTTTGTAATTAATTGTAAATTATGGCAATTTTGTGGTATCTGTGTCTAAAAAAGTCCAACTCTCTTTTTACTAGCGGCTTGTGAAAAGGCTGACAGACATTTCAGTCTGGATGTAAAAGTAGGGTAGGTTTTAAAGTTTCATAGCCTGTGACAACCCTTAAAATGCCCTCCCCACAATATATTTAAGGGGAAAGGATCAAAAACAGGACCAAGAGTGGAATAAAAATTACGAACTATAATAAAAAGGTCAAATACTGATTTCCTATGAAATTTACAAACACCAAGAATTTGGGGATTTTAATATTACTTTCATAACTCTTTTAACTTCTACCTACTCTATGTTTCAATAAATGTTTAATAAACCATCACTTATAAAAACCATCAATTTTTCTTTTTCCAACATGGATCGATCAAGACTTGGTGTTTTGGTGGTTTTTTGTTTGTTTAGTTTGTCTGGGGCTTTTTACTGCTGTGATTTACAGTTCTTTGCATTTAATTAGCATCAATGCAACAATACATGGAAATAACTCACAGCTAATCACTGGTTTTGGATACAGCATAGTGAAGACCTGGTCACAAAATACATGCTAAAACACCTACTGCATCTTATTTGTGATACCTGATCATCACGAAAACATGGGAAACACTCCTGTTCTTTAAAGGCAGAAATTATACTTGAAGAAAATACTGTTTAAATATGCAAACCTCACAGCTGTACTTGTAATATGCATATTTTCACACTTTGCCAATAATAATTTGTGGTTTATGGGACTCTTTATGACCAATAACTTACAAACACAAATACATCGTGCTACTTTCAGTGTTCCAGCCATCCATGTTACTATATATTCATATAAAGTTACATGGATGGCTATATTATATTTTAACTATAAAATTTTGTAATTTCTTATTTCTTTATTAGCAATCTTTTTTGTTATGAGTTCAGCTGGACTTAATTCTTTGAGTAAAAGAAAGGTCTTTAAAAGAACTGTTTACTCCTAAGGACTATTAAAAATATTTTTTCTCTGTTTTTATACTAGCAGATGAATGAGTGTTGCATTAAACAATGAATATCAATGCAATTGGGTAGGAGTGCTGAGGGAAATCTATGGGGATAGCTTAATGTGAGAGAAAACCTGAGGAATTCCTCTAACAACAGATGG